CAGCAAATTGGAGTAGTATGGTTTGATGTTTGCACTTAGCCAGTGAGTGTACTGGATCTTTCAGCCTTGGTTTCACCATAATTCTCATGCCTAGAGCATGAACATCAGAAATAATAACCTAGTCTCCTTATGTGAGGCCCTCGGAAGCCTCCTGTTCAGCCCCTCTATAGTGGTCTCCCCCCCCCACCCTCTAATAACTGCGAGTCTACTGCTGCTTTCAACGTATTACACTCATTACCAAGAATGTTGCAAGCTTTCATTGCTCATCTCTTCTTAAATTGCTGTCCGTTATGCTGATTCTCTGTCTTCAATACTTTGAGTCCATAACCCAGAATACGTAGGCAGATCAGGAATTCTGATTCAATGACTGCATGCTTGGGTCAGTCATTTAGAATGCAATGAAGCCAGAACCAGCAAGGCAACTAGCATTTTTGGAAGGTCAGCAATGGCGGCCTACTTATATGTTTGGTACAATTTTTTCCTTTTATATGACATTCAGGAAAGCCTATTGGTGCCCTCTAGAGAAGCTCAACATCCTGGTAGTCTGTCAGCCATGTGATCTTGATATCTAGGATATCTCTTGTAACCTTGAGGCGATATACGAAGCTTTTTCAGAAATGATATGGTGGTGTTGTGACTTTTTTGTGAGTAATCAATGGGATTTCCTGTGAAAATGCAGTGTTTCTTAGTGGGTGACATACACACACTGTGCCTTTATTGACTATTATAAGACATTCTATTCCTACATTGAACAGGGAAAACTGACCTGCATTGTGATAGAGTAGTTCGGCTGTGCATATTGGAGGAGCTCTGTGGTATTCTATGTGTCATAGTTCGGAATCCATTGTATGTGTGTGTTGGCGCAGGTGGGGGGGCTGTTACTCAGCCGCCAACTGTTCAGCTACATTTGTCCGCTATCCACAGAAGGATAACCCGAGCCTCCAGCCTTGTATTTTAGCAATATGCTCAGAGCCGGAGATGCACATTCCATGCCTGAGGCTTGAATCTGAGCTGAGAAGAGAGTCTGCCTTTATTATCCTCTTTCCAATTTAGCACATAAGTCTGAATCCCAGCTGACTGGTTTTAGCAGAAATACGCTAACTGTTTATGTATTTATAGCAAGGCTGCACAACTGCATTCCAAGAGGATCACATAAAAAGCACTTTGGGGTCAGACATGGTAATTTTGCTTAGGAAACTACAATTCACTTAATGTATTGCCTTTTTAACTGAATTATATCTTGAAGTGTCAAGAGTCTAGCCTATGAGGACGTTTACTGTGGCTGATCACAAGATCTTGGAATATCATCACAAAGCAGGTTTTCTTTTGTTAAAAAGGATATGCAGGATATTTAACCTCCTAAACGTATATATCTAGAGCATTTTTTGTTTTAGACACACTAAGGAAGGGTTAGAACCTGTTGCTGTATTTCTCTGTTGGAGAGCATAACCCCTTCCATTTTTCTTGGTGGCTATTTGGAGTTTTTTTAATTTAAGGCTGTCACAAGAACTTGATAATAGGGTACTTTTTTCCAATGAGGGTGCCTGTTCCACTGATATCTGTCATTTAGGGCACTTACACTGACTGGACAGTTTTCTACTTACTACCTGTATGTCTTCAGGACAGGAAGTGAAGTGAAGGGAAGTCTCAACGTGAGACTACAGGGAGGTTTACCCACACGCTTCCCCACACTTCAAAAACTAAAAAAGGTTTTCGTTATAGGTACACTTTAAGGTCCATCAATAGATCTGCTCCAAACTGCTACCTGCGGAAGTGAGCACAGGCACTGTTGTATTCTATGACCAGGCTGTTGCCAACAGCTATGGTCACAGTAAAATAAGAGTTGCAGTGACACCTAGCTATCACTGTCATTAAAGTGTTATTGTCTGCCTTCATGTCTTCCACTTTGCCATAAATTCAAGGAACAAAAAGTGGAATGCTACAGTGCATGAGCACCTTATAATGATAAAAAATGTACCTACATCTTTTCAACTACTTAAGTTGGAGCTAGACCTATCCTGGTCAGCCGATGACAGTGATGACCATTTCACTGACAAATGCTTTCATTAATTCTGACTCCCAATTTTGTTTATTTGGTTCCAAGTTTTCAAAAAGATTGAGTCTGCTCTTAAATTTAGTTGCTCCCATTACTCCAGATACTCTTCTATCTCTGCTTTGACTTAGTCATACCCTGCCTAACCAGCCTAACCATTCAGTGGTCTAGTAAGAACCTCAAAGGCCAACACAGGCTATGGAATCGGCTTGTTGATGGGTAGGATCAGGACATAGCTCTGAGATAGGGCAGAAGCTGAGGCCCTTAGCTCTCTGCTACACCAAAAGCATTATGGGCGTCTGGCTTGAAAACACATGGATTCACTGGAGGTACTGAGGCCAAGAGTTTGTATTTTGAGATCAGTAGCAAGTTCTACTTTTGTGTTGGAGATCAGTCCATACTGATGTGCCACTTTAGTGCCCATGTGTTATGGTTTGAGCACCACAAATTGTAGATTCCTAGACATAATACATGGGCAGTAATGCGTTTCCTTTTTAAGTGGAAAAAAAAGTCTCATGCTGTATTAAGACTACAAGTGACCTAATTTTACTTTACATTTCCTCTCGTCAGACGTTTCATGTCCACCACCCCTGTCAAGAATTTCACATCCCTTTGTGAAATCAGCTAATAAGCGTGAAATTAAAACATTCTCAATCCTATCTCTGTTCCACAGTCCTACCTGCTTTCAGGACAAGCTGCCTGTTCGGAGGGAAATTCTTTCAACATTTTCAGTCTCATTTTTAAGCCTTGGGTACTAAGCTTTTCATTTGCAAACAGGCGATTCCAGTAAAAACTTCCAGTGCGGTTTGTATAAGTACTTTCAACCATAATCCTTTGGAACAATAGTTTTCAAGGTCTGCCTTGAAGTGTGACCTTAAAAAAGTTCACCGTTCAGTATCCTTGTTCACAAAACAAAGTAAAATATTGGTATAACTTTAATAAAGGCCCATGTGCTTGCAAAAAAACTTTAGACAGATGTACAGAGTCTACTGTATCAGAGAAAGAATGAGGAACCCAGATTAAAATCTGCATTTTTTTTTCTGGGTATTTAAGGCATCGATACACCCTGAAGCCCTCTCACTTGTATCTCATGGGGTCTCTAGCAGTGGGATCTGTACCACATCGGAGTAGTTTGCACCTCTGTCTGTGTTTTGTTGCTTCTGCAAAACTATTTAAAAACAAGAAGCGTGGAACCTCCCTCACAAAGATTGTGACAAGGTGGATTTGGGAACCAGGAAACTGATATTTTGGTATTGGAGTTATAGATGCTCCTTGTGAATCTGCACTTCTTATTTCATTGCCTGACCGAAAGATTTAGTGTTTTTAGGGGAGAAGCTGCACCTGCAGACACCAAGAACTGGTTGGGTCATGCACCTGGGACCAACTCCCCTCTGTTGCCTACATCGAACTCAGCCTTTCCCAACCAGGGTGCCTTCTGGCTTCACGGGAGAGCCTTGAAATTTTCAAACATCCTCCTTATGTAAAAAAGGGGGACTCTGAAGTGAAGGGGGCCTTCTGACATGAAAAAGGACTCTTGATGTGAGAGGGGGTTACTCTGGTGTGAAGGTCTCCTAATATGAAGGGCGACTCCTGATGTCAAATGGGGGGTGCTTCCTGATTTGAAGGCAGAACCCCACTTTTTTATGGTTGTGTGGAGTCCCTCTTCAAATCCATACTAGAGCTATCTGGGATAAGGGTCTAGTATGGATTTCAGTGGGGCCACACGTAATGTTTTACATTTGTGGTGTTTTAAATTTTAGATTGGGGTTCCCAGATATTTTGGATACTTTTAAAGGGTGCTGTGACTGAAAAAAGGTTGAAAAACACTGATCTAACTTATAGCACACCTATATATGCAAACTAGTATGCAGACTTTTTAAAAAGTTTTTAGAAAGAGGGAAAAAGTGTTTTTTTTTTTTTTTTTTTTTAATTGGTGTGAGTGTTGCCGCTGAGTTTTTTTTCCTGTCTATTTGTGCTATTGACACCAGGAGAGAGAATGAGGGGCTTCCACAATTTTTTAATTGTCACATTGTCTTCCTTTGGAGATACCTTGTTCCATTGACCAGGCTTAATTGATTTCTACCCATTTGCTGTCATGTTAGGATAGAAAGTAAGAGGTACCTTTTTAAAAAGTTTAAGTTTCTCTGCTGCGGGCACACAGCAATAAAAAACTGACAGAGGTTGTGCTAAGAGTAATATACTGGAATTTACCAATCCTTGGATGTGATGGCAGCATCATTTTTTTTTTTTTCTTTTTTAGTATTTGCTTTTATTTACATCTGATGATCTGTTGCTGGTAACACACTTCTGTTCTAGGGTCACAACGTTGTGCTGTATCTATGGTAGAACAGCGTTGTCACACTGACAGACTAAATAACACCTCTCCGTTACCTCACCTCCATTGCGTGCAGGGGTTCTGTAGTCCGCAAAGAAAACGAACTGATCATAGTGCCGTAGGGGCAGAGAGCGCAGCCAGTTATCATCTCAGAAAATTTCTAGCAGTATCAACAGGTAATTTTTGCACTTCGCAAACAGATGTAACACAACGTTGTCAATAGATTTGTTTAACAGACCAAAAAGAGTAAATAGAAGTCCATTGTTGGGATTTACATACACTTCAAGAAGCTGGTAGATAAACCACCCACAGCATGTTCTAAAAGCTAAACGATACTTTTTGGTGGTCAAACTCTTTAATCATTGACTATACATCATGTTTACACAATGAACAGACATGGCTGATACCATATCCAGGTGATTTTTATCTGTTTTTGATGTTTGAACAATTGCTTTTTTTTAAAGTTCTTACTCATCAGTGATAACATAATCAGAATTCTGTTTGTTCTGGCGGCTGTTTTCCTTTTCGTTATCAGACCTATGTGTGGAAAAGAAAATTATGATTTTTGGTTAGCACACAAATGGATATTTACATTTGTTCTTTGTTTTCCAGGGATCCGCAGGTCTGATCTTCTGCACACCAGGTCAGTACGGGGGCACAAGGACTGTTTTGAGAAATATCATAAGATTGCAGACCAAGACTGTTCCCGCTCCAAACTCGCCAAAAGCCCCTATGAGGAGGTCAAGACAATCGTCAGTAAAAAGATCAGCTGGATTGTCCAGTACGCACAGAATAAAGATTTGTACACCGATACGGAGTGTTCCAAACCAACTCCGCAAAAGCTTTATAAGTTCAGGCAGCTGAATGACCGGTCCCTCCTTCCACAGCATGACTCGCAGGTACCACGCTACTCTGAGAAATGGCTGGACGCAGGAGCACGCAGTTTGTCTAGCTGTAGACAAGGAGTCCTGGAACAAAACAACACTCTTCAGAATCCTAGGACCGCTTTCTGTCATGGCCCGCTGTGGCCAAGTACCAGCCAATCACACTCGAGTGAGAACTGCGCCTTGGAATTTGGGACCACCGCACAAAGATATCAGCATTACAGCAAAGAACAATGTAAGTCTTTTTATATCTCGCTGCTGACCATATTTTTATATTTACAAAAAGGATTACAGCACTTGAAGATGCTATATGCCTGGTATACTGTAGATCTAAACCCGTCATAGCACAGGACAACCTAGTTCTAATCCTCCATTGCAATTCTTTGTTTCACTTTAGTGCTGCTGTAAAAGAATAGGCTCTCAAGAAAAAAAAAAAGTCCCACCCCTCCCCTCCCTGCTGATCCTCGCCTTTGTTGCCTTTCCCTGCCTCTTGATTGCTCTGTCAGACCCCTTAGTAAATACCTGGTTCTTAAAGCTATGGGGCAGCATGTGACCTCCTCCTCTTTCTACCTAAATGCAGTGCACAGACCTAATCAGCCAATCATGTGAACACGGAGTTGTTTGGACTGTTCTCCAGCTCCAATGAATGATTAGAGCGCGGGTAAAGTATCTGGCAGTGGGTTGAGGTTGGGTTCTTTCTAGAGAAACTGTAACTGTTTGTCCTGCTTGGGCAAAGTAACAGAGTGTCCTTTAGGGCTCATTCACAGATTTGCACATCAGTACAAATGAGCATGCCTGTGCAGAGACTTGCTTCCGGAAGAGATAGGTGCTGCTTTTAATTGAATGCAGCTGCCTGGACCTCCGCATGGGAGGGCACGACTGCACATGTTTACACACAGACCCGAACCTGAACACCCGTGCAGTTTTGGGTGCCCGCACTGGGACTTAGAAACGCTGATTTTCGGGACCATGTTACACCCTTATTCGGGGTCACATCGCAAGCTTGAAGGATCTTTTCCACTCTTCACATCTAAGTTGGTCTAGTGGCCACACCATAGAGAGGCCTTTCAACAGTAAAAGGTGATGGGGTGATTCTTTTACTTCTTTGTGGGACTGTGATAGTTATCCTCATAAATATATACAGATAAAAACACTACATATCTTCATTGCTTTTTATGCTTTTGATACTAACCATGTATTTACTGAATAATATCAATTGAGGAAAATGTGTTCATTTAGAATAGCAAAGAAATCCATTTACTCTTCCGGAGGAAGGATCAGCCAGCTGGAACTCCTGATCTGACTCTTCAGCAGAGATCTTGTAACTAAATGCCTAGGGTTTGCTTTATGTGAACAGCACTGGGAGGGTAATCGGATCAGCATTTTCTCCAAGAAAGTGTTTTTCCCCATAGTTCTCTTAAAGGTCACGGGAAGACCTATACTAGCATCCTCCTGTGACCCAAAGCTCAGTATATCGCGAGCTACAGCTCGCATTATACTGAGACCGCCGCAGCCGGGATGGATCCCAACAATACAGTCGAGATCCACCCGGGTGCGTGAGTGACAGTTGGCTCTGCCTATCTAGAGGCAGAGCCAGCTGTACCCGCCCCCTCCCCCGTCTGTTCCTACTCAGCGCTGGGGGAGGGGGAATCCCAGCGGGGGCGGTGACTGGCAGTCACTGCTCTCTGCAGGGAGATGATCGAGAAGCGAGCGATGTATGTGTTCGCTCACTTCCCGATCTATTGAGCCGAAGTGTGACAGTTTCATTGTCACAGGTCTGCTCAAACTATGAGGATGAGTGATTTTCACTCGCCTCATAGTTCTCCTTTTAAGCCCTTACTCTCCATGAGGCCATATTATAGTTTTATGTTAATGTTTTGTATATAGGTCTACTTTAATAAAGCAGCAAAAAGATAATTATTATATGAAAAATTGATCTTTTTAGATTTCCACTACTTGGGATCAGATAAGTGAATTTGGATATTTGCCTTTCACCCTGTTTTTTATTGAGAAAGCTTGATGACGTTTACAAAGAAGTCCATTCAGTCTCTCTGTGTCTCCCTCTCAGTGACTGGCTTTAGAGGACACAGCAAGGTCACATCTGTTGCTCTGCTTTACGATCTTATTAACCGCCTTAGGAAGTTTGCATGCCTTAGAAAATTTGCCGCTGTTGATTGACAGTAAGACAAATGGGCCGTGACTGGCTCTGTATGCCTAAGATGTGTTTTTAAGTTACGTAAGCTTCTGTGCATGTAGATGTTTGAAAATATTCCTTTTTTAATAGATATTTTTGTGGACTGTGTAAGTGGGCAAGACCAAAGAGAACACTGTACAGGGAGTGCAAATATGCACTATATTGCCAAAAAGTATTGGGACGCCTACCTTTTACATGCACATGAACTTTAATGGCATCCCAGTCTTAGTCCGTAGGGTTCAATGTTGAGTTGGCCCACTCTTTTCCGCTATAACAGCTTCAACTCTTCTGGGAAGGTGTCTATGGGAATGTTGGATGAGAAGGCCTGGCTCACAGTCTCGGCTCTAATTCATCCCAAAGGTGTTCTATCGGATTTAGGTCAGGACCCTGTGCAGGCCGGTCAAGTTAAGTACCTCCACCCCAAACTCGCTCATCCATGTTTTTATAGACCTTGCTTTGTGCACTGGTGTGTAGTCATGTTGGAAGAGGCCATCCCCAAACTGTTTCTACAAAGTTGGGAGCATGACATTGTCCAAAATGTCCTCGGTATGCTGATGCCTTAAAAGTTCCCTTCACTGGAACTAAGGGGCCAAGCCCAACCCCTGAAAAACAACCCCAACTTCCACCAAACTTTACACTTGGCACAAAGGTAAGGCAAGTACTGTTCTGCTGCCAACCGCCAAAGCGAGACACGTCCATCGGATTGCCAGACAGAGACGCGTGATTCGTCACTCCAGAGAACACATCTCCACTTCTCTAGTCCACTGGTGGGGTGCTTTACACCACTGCATCCGACGCTTTGCATTGCACTTGGTGATGTAAGGCTTGGATGGAGCTGCTCGGCCATGGAAAACCATTCCATAAAGCTCTCTACGCACTGATGTTGTGCCAATCTGAAGGCCACATGAAGTTTGGAGGTCTGTAGCTATTGACTCTGCAGACAGTTGGTGACTTCTGCGCACTGTGCACTTCATTATGCGCTGACCCCGCTCTGTCATTTTACATGGCCTACCACTTCGTGGCTGCGTTGCTGTTATTCCCAGTTGCTTCCACTTTGTTATGATACCACTAACAGGTGACCATGGAATATTTAGTAGCAAGAAAATTTCACAGAACACCTGAATCCAATGATTTGGAGGGGTGGCAATATAGTGTATATCTGTATGCATCCTTCTATAATACAATGCAGAAATATGGTATGCCCATTACATCCTAATGGAACGCTGTCTGCTGTTCACCACATCATACCAAAGTTTAAAGAGGACCTGTACTGTGGAACCAAAAAATGAAAGCGCATATCAAATGATTAGTCACCAGTATAGCTTATAGCAGGGGTACCCATAAGGTCGATCGCGATGTCCTCTCCTCCCGCCTGTGGGTCTTCTCCTCTGGATCCCCATCTGTATGCAGCGGGAACCGAGGAGAAGTAAAGGAGCCGCTGGGGGGGATGGGCTAGGGGGAAGGGGGTGAAGGACGGAGCTGCTTTCCCTTAACTAAGGCCGAGCGGTGAGGAGGGAGAGAGAGACGCTCGGCCAGGATCTGGCAGCGTCGCCTCTCTCTCCCCTCACCCTTAGTTCTGTGACAGCAGCTCCATAAGATAGCTCTTTACTTTTTCAGTCCGGGCCCACTTTAAATTTGACCATAAGGAGAAGTCTGAATTCATGAACATGAAATAAACTTTTTTAACAAGTCTGCAGTTTTTCCGCACACCTCATGCCGTCCACATTACGTGTCACCTGTCTGATTTGAGAGATAATCCTGCCATCTAACAAAGTCACGCTGGCAGACGTTGTCATTATGATCTATGGCATGGCCCTTGCTGCTTGATTGCATAGACCTGAGTTATCAGCAGAGACTTCATGGGTCAATAGTGCTTTGACTCTCCCGCTGTGGAGTTCAGTACAGCTTTGGCTTGTGCTGCTAGTCTCTCTGCAAAGAGGAAATGCAAACTAATAGCGAGTTCTTACTGGATCGCTGCCAACCTGAAGTTTGCCGTTTTTTTGTTACGTAAACCTGTCAGAGAAATATGGGGGCTGCCAATGCTGACCTCCGTCTGAGGAGGAGAGGTGAGTTGCCTGGCTATTATGTTGACCCCAATGGCTCCAAAACCTTTTGAGTCGATGACGCACAACATGTCTGCAGAGCATTCATGCTAATTCCAGGTCAGTTTTGCAGCCAGAGGGACCTTCCAGGCAACTAGTATTGTCAAAAGGAGAGATCAATAGTGAACTCAAATGTCCACTTTTGGTATGAATAATATTTTTTGGGAGGACAGCATTGAGAATGGACAACAGATATATAGTTTGTGTGTTATTACCTTGTATGTAATTGACAGCAGCACCAAGTAACACTTACTTTGCTTCTGGCTGTAATTACACATCCTCTTTGCATACTTGTAGACATTTTAGAGTGGAAGGCATCATTGCAATAAAATACTTGGGACCACATGTAGCCATCAGGCTACCATGAAGGGAGCATCACTGTCCGAAGATATTTTGCATGCAGTGCTGTAAGGGTGGTAAAGTGGGCCTGTCGCCTAACAAAATTCAGACATTTTATTAACCTAAAGAGGAAACATTAGTTCATTATGACCTCTTATTGCAGCCATTCTTAACCAGGGTGCCACCACATGGTGCTAGGGGTTCCTACGGCCAAAGCCATGGGCACGGCAGGAGTGATATTTTTAGCTATCTGTAAGGGTGGCATCCTTTCCTCTATCCACCACTGTACCACTGTAAGGGGCATTCTCTTCATGGACTCCCACTGAAATTATACATTCTTTCAACTGCCCTCCAATATGAAAGGCATTTTTTGTTCTCCCTGAACATACATGTAAGAAGACGCTTCTCTCCCTGGTCATAATCTAATGGGTTTCTTCTCCACTAACCTCATTGTGGGGACATCTTGCCTACTGACCACAATGCAAGGGGGCCCTTCACTGAACACCAATGTAACAAGACATTTCTCCACAGACGACCAATGTACCGTATATACTCGAGTATAAGCCGTCCCGAATATAAGCCGAGGTACCTAATTTTACCACCAATAGTATATACGGTAACCAAAAGCCAATTCTGCTGAAGTCAGTTTAGTTAGAACACATCTGATACGGACTTCCTAAAGACGGGGATGAAGATGAAGCCTGCTGCAGGTGATTGGGGAGAAGGTGGAGCATGGTGCAGGGAGCACAGCTGCTTGCATTTAGGACAAGCAGTCTCCTGTGATCATAGGGATTTAAGCTAGTAGGAATGTCAGGATGTAAATTGGTCACATAGCATATGTGTCTGGAGTCAGGTTTTTCTACCACGCCTTTTTTGAAGTATATTTTATACCCCATTCACACCAGGCCGACAGCGTTTCAGCACTATTTACGCAGATTTTTTTTATGCTGGTTTCAGCATGTTTTACAAGCATTTTCTGTTGATTATGTAATGGCATATTAGGGCACGTTTTCAGTTGTCCAATGAAAAGCAGTCTCAGCTGCAAAAACGTGCTGATCGGCATGTTTCCATTGAAGTTTATGGAGCAAAATGAGCTGATAAGTGCCACAAAAGAAGCTCAGGGACTATTTCAAACAGCAGGTGTATTGCGTGAACGGCCACCATAGGAATACATGTGATTTTAATTTGCTTGCGTTTTAGCGTGGAAAAAAAAAGCGCAACGAAACACCCTGTTGTGAACGAGGCCTTACTGTTGAATAGAGGTGTGACAGCTGACCATAGACAGTCCACCAAGCACTGTTGGCATCAGCAAGAACAGGGATCCTACTTTTGTTGACATGGGTATAGATGGTGAGACCCTTCATTAATTTTAATATTGAGGTTTTTTTCCTGCACTGTACAATACTAGGTTTGCTTTCTTTACCCATTAACTCCACATTACCCCAGGCACTGAAGACCTACAGTTAATGAAAGTACTTCAGAAACTATGTAATTGGAATAAAGCAATTACTGTACCATATCATTGCCAAACGTGCTGTAAGCCAGGAGGGAATATTGGCGGGAATTGTGGGAGACGATGGGAAACACCCTTCTAACATGCTGTATAATATGAAAGAATTTGCCACAGGCCATTTCTAATTGGCAAGCAAGCTGGGCTGTCCCCTGGTTGCTAGTGAGGAGTCGGGCAAATATAGGCTGGAAATTCTTTATTTGCTTTTATTTTCAGTATTGATCACAACTTCATTTTTCATTCAAAGCGTCAGTAGGAAGAGCTGCTCTCGTTTCCTTCACAACCAATTACTGTACATTCTCTGTTACTGTCCCCACTGCTCTAAAAGCATTAGGGTTGCTACGGGCAGTTCAGCCAATTTTTGTTTGCAATGAGATCAACTGGCAACTAATCGGATACATTCACAACTTCAGAAAGCTGTGTGTTCCTTGCAAACTGTCCTAATCCATTAAATTCTACAGATTGACTCGTTCCAACAGCTTTTCTTTACTGAAGACTACAAAGCCTTATTGCTAAGTCTATTTTTTGTTAAAGAGCGAGGAAGAGTCAGTTTGTGTCCTCAGTGGAGCCATTTTCCTTCACTTCCTGTCCCAGTGATGGTGCATATTTGTGTGGGTCAGCCCACCCAAAATTATTCCATTTTTGTTTGGATACCATTGAGCTGCATCCTGCACTTGTACTATCAACAGGGGTAAGAACCTAGCTCTCGTCGTTCTGCTCGCTGGCACTTTTTTTCTGCTCTTAAGCTGGCCATACACTATACAGAATTTGCATAGTGGGTGCTGCTGTCGGCGCCCTTTTCGGCCAGCATCCCCCCGATCAGCTGATTGAAGGAGCTTGTCAGAAAATCTTCAAACGAATAAAGCCAGCAGCCCGTGGCCAGAAGCCGCTGTCAGAATACAATGCAAACAGTGGGAGATTCCCTGATCAATGATCTTAAGCGTTGATGGAGGAATCTTTTATCTTTTTTTTTCGTTCAGCACACGGGTTGAACAAAGAAAAATATTAGCGTATGGCCAGCTTTACAGTAGCAAGCGGAGACTTAATGCACCAGCTACATTCTCCATAATGAACAAATAAACCCAGCAGGCATACTGAACTCCTGTCCCAAGGTTTTATTACTGGGGTCCTGACAAATATAAGCAGCTGGGCAATTATGTGACCAAATGGGGCTGATTTCAAAGACTGCCACAAAGAAAACTGGTGTATTGGGCAATTCCTTGTCTTGTTTGGATTGGTTGATCTGGGCAACGGTCCTACATTCCCTCCAGTCCAAGTCTGTCCAGTGGCATTTAGCCAGTGTCCGTTCGGGGTGCACTGACCTGTGCTGAAAGAGTGTATCGGAATACTTTGTGGTCACCATCATTGAGTGTGGCTGTGTTAACTGGGATATTTGGTTGCAAATAACTGACTTTATGCTTCTCCTCCTCTTCTAGTGAATTTGATGGGCACAGAAGAACTGGGACGATTGAAAGAACATTTCCTCAGGCAAATCAAGGGTATGTCTGAAAATCAAATGACTGGAATGTTCTCTGGAGATCAGTGGGCTTCGGCTCTGTGTAGTCTCTTACTACCAGGTTATTGTATACTGCCGGCATGAACCCGTTCTGATCTCCGAAATCTATAGTCTAGTTTTTTACTCCTAGCTATGTGTACAACATTGCCTGTAATCCTCCTTATGTCAAAGCTAAATTCCAGGCAGATATAAAAGACACAAGTCGATGCAGCTCTGTATTCATTAATCATTAAAATGTGTGTGTTTTCTAAAGCAAATGGTGCAAATTTAAATGTATTTAACCGTATACCTGAATGTGAATTGATGACGGCCTCTTGCAATCCTCTGTTTTAGCAGAGCTCAGAATTGAAAAGGGAAGGGTAGGACTGGTAGCCAGTCGATGCGCTGCATGCCTTTGTGCTGGCAAGGAACATGGTGATAGGAGGAGAGACAATAGTGAACACAGATGACCTCCTCAGTCTACTGCTGCTCTTTTACTATCCGGTCCTCAGGCTAGGGGTTGAGAGGGGGGCACCACTTTATTTCCTGTCTAAGTGGTGCCTTAGGAGCTCTCAGAAATAGATGGACAGTAATACATATCCTTTGTCATTTAGCTATTTTGCCTGGAGTTCAGCTTTAAATTCCTATTATTCAGCAGCTCACGTTTTATAACCTATGTTTATATTGTATGATATTGCACAGAACATTTCCTTGACATACAGTGGGTGCACAAACACAAGGGCAATGTTTTTTGGATGTGAAGGAATAGGATCAGAAGTCAAAATCTCTGCCCCCATGTTGTACAACAACCACACTCTCCAACCTACCAGATCATTCTGGCCTTAGAAGTCGCTCTCAGACTATTTGTGGCAAGGTGAATTAAAAATGACATGTCTCTGCTGATGTGCACGTTAAGGCAGTGTCCATTATACTGTAGCTGTTTAAAATAATTATTTTTGGAGCTTCATTGCTGTTTAAGATATTTGTTTTAATGAGCTTTTACAAGAAAACGGGTCCTATTCATTGTCTGAAGATCAGCAGAACTCCGCCACGGCAGCTGCAGATGTGCAGTAATCTAAGCCACCAGCTAAGTATAGGTTACAGTAAAGCTTATCAGTGCTTGATGGCATTAAAGCTTTTATTTTTAGCCTCTACTTTACAAGGCAGAATAGCTTTAACCACATTAAGTGGCATATTTTACAGAGTGCAGGCACTTTTGTAACGCAGACAGTGATTCACATAATCTAACCTTCTCATTTCTTCAGTGATGGGAATGAGAGGGTATGATTTGGAAAAGACTCCATGCTAAAATATATTTATAAAGCAAAAGTCTTTTTATGTCTCTGGTAATCTTGTTTTAGGCCTCTAGTCTGGAATGACATTATTGGCCATGGTTTTTGAATGGGATGTCCACAAAGCTAGTATTGATGTCATAGGTGTCCATAACATTTGATCATATAGTGTAGCATTGTCCAAAATGTCACCTGTGTTTGATAAAATAAAGTTGGTTGAAGGGGTCACTTCTATTGTACTAGTGACAACAAAAAGCTTAAAAAGAAAGCAAACTCAAAGAAGCAAACAACCTTTCAATAAGAGAGACATGCAGAAGAATAGTGTACATAATGAAGGGAATTTATCAAAACTGGAGCAGCTGTGCATGGCAACCAATCAGCTCCTCTTTCATTTTCAAATCTTAACCGAACAAACTGAAGATAGAAAATGATTGGTTAGCGTGCACAGCTGCCCCAGATTTTCTCTGCTCCAGTTTTGATAAATTCCCCCCAATGAGTTCTGTGAGAATCTGTTTGTATTTTGTAGTAAATCACGTGGTTACATGAGTAATGCTTCAAGGACAGGATATTGAGCCCTGTCTCAGGAAGGATCCATATTGTACCATTTGCCATATGGAAGATGATGGGGCAACCTCTTAACCATCAAGTGTTGTATATGTTGCCTGAAATTCTTGTTCTATTTAAGTTCCTTATATTTATATTTTTTGTTTTAGATGTATTTGAAGAGCTTAGCTCCGTAGTCCAGGAGAAAGACACTCTGTCGTCGGAACTCAATGGGCGTCACATTGCCATAGAACAGCTTCTGAAGAACTGCTCCAAGCTGCCTTGTCTCCAGATGGGTCGTGCAGGAATGAAAGTTAATATGACAATTAATAACTAGTACAAGCAAGGTTCGGTTTCACAGTGACCAGCCAACCAATCCACCTCCAGCAAACAACCATAGGGGTTGACTACTTGGAATCTTATCCATACCTGTAAGGAAGAGAGAAGCTATGTACAAAGATGAACTCTGCGGTTGGCATTTCACTTCTGCTTTCATGATGGATATGCTGAAGCCATTCCGATTTTTGTGGAATGAAAAGTTTTGTTAGCCACTTCGTACAGAAAATATTTTTCTACAGATATTTAACTTGTGATTTGAGAAAACGTTTGGTGGCTCTTGAGTCCCTTGCACATTTAGATAGAAGATGTAGCTATCAGGGCAGAGGCAAAGTTAGTTGGCTCCACCTGGTTAACAAAACACAGCCTTTCAAACTAGAACATCGTCTATTGCCTTTTGCTCTGAGAGCATTTCGGGTTTCACGGGCAAGTATTGCAACAGACCATGCAGCCTCAGTGCCTATTAGAAAAAGTTGTGGAGAGTTATGGGTTACATTTTTATAGTTGCATCTTGTTCTTCCAAAAAGCAGCTCTGGTCTGTATAGTATTTAAAGAAAATGCGTATTGTTAACTAGGGCTCATAGGTGGGTGCTTTTCAGGTGGCCATGGGTGCTTTACCTGTAATTGTGGTCAGTTTTGAGTTTTTTATTTATCTTTCTGGTCACAAAGACCTTTGGACACTACAAATGGTGTTCCCTTAAGTCCCATGTATTCATACAGCAGTAAACTTGAGAATGCTTTGTGAAGCAGGACAACAGCCTGAAGACCATTGTAAGATCTGTGAGTATTTTCATTGACTGCTGATCTGCAGAGTTTGAAGGATTCGATCATGTGATGGCTCAACTGCCTATGAAATTGGTCATACAATATCGTAACTTCTGCTAATTGATCCAACTTGGGCTTCCCCCAGACTGCATGAAGCCAATAATAAGGACCTGTGTCAACAGGCTTGGGTCAGTGGCATCAGTTTAAAACATCTGAGATCCTTCAGAATTAATTGACAGGTTCATTTGACCTGCATTTCACCTGCTTCAATTGGGTTTTGCATTCCTGGGTTTTGTATAGCTTTGCACAACCCGTCTGAAGTGAATAAAAACACATCAGCACAGGTTCTATTGGAGTTCACTGTAATGTTAGAGACCCACGTGATTTCCAGTTGGAACGTGAAACACCTTCCAAGGTCTCCATGTTACTATACATCTCTGCTTTTTCAGCTTGCAGGACTTGACCAGGAACTGTAATTATAGGTTTACTTGGTAGTGTAGGCTACTTGTGAAATCTATGTAGTGACACAGCCATGTCTATTGGTTCTGTGAGAACCATTGCGGCTGGAAAACGTCATTTCAGTCTACTGAGCTGGAATTGCAAGGTGCGAACAAGTAACTTTAAAGCAAATTAGTTCATATACACCAAAGGGAACCCCCTTCCCCATCACAGGTGTATTCTGTACACAGGTCCTTACCTTACCCTGCCTTGGTGCTCCAGCCCACTACCATTCCACTATCCAATTGGAACAGCACAATAGTCAATAGCATTGCTTTCATTGGATTAGAAGATGGTCAGCAGGTGTGAGGCCTCTATAAAGCATGCATCAGGGCCCAGAGGGGTTTTGGGGATACAGAGAGAAGCATTTGCAAAGTTTTTTTTAACCCTTTGCTTTTGTAATATGATGCAGGTTAGGAGCACATAATGAAAGTAAAAGCTAAGAATATAATACATCATGAAATGCAGGAGAAGGGCACTCTGCACTGTTTCTGTTCATTTTCCTTCAAGCATTCTCAAGTATATTGCTGTGTCTCCTTCCCATAGGGTACTTGGTCTCCAGAACTCTGCAAGAGCAGAACCGTGCTCGACTGCCAGGCGTATGTACCCTAGTACTCCAGTTTTTTATAGACTGTTTTTGTTTTTGACGTTTTATACCTGAGGAGGTCTAAAAAAAAAAAAAAAAAAAAATGAAATCAAGGGTCACTGTTGTATGAAATGCTTCAAGTACTATTTCTAGACCCTTTTCTATGTTTACACTGAGACTTTTACTATCTACTGTTTTTTACAAAGAAATATAATATTTTGGTACCTTTTTGTGATAGTTCTATATTAAATCTTTGCTTCATAGTATTCTGCTTTCCACACATTAGGATTGCTGGCAGAGGGTTTATATATTCTGTTCAACTTGCATTTTCCATTTCATTGCTGTTTGAGGGGGTTTGAATGCACTAGTGAGGCAAAAGCTGGCACATATACGGATTTGTAGCACTGATGTCTTCATTCTTTTTGTGTATTCCATGATGCTCATCCATTCTAGTGTGCAGTTCACTTTGTGAAGTTTTGTATGAGAAGAACAAACCGATAATGCTGTAGTTCACTTCAGATAAGGACTTTGTTTTCCTGTCCTAGTTTTGAAGCAAATCAGCAGTCTTGCTTAATCCCTGATACACCTCCTTTCCTTTGCCCCTCTCTATTGCTTTTTTTAGCAAATGAAAATATGTGGTCTATTTCAGTATGGAGGAGCATGTGGGCCAATAAGCACCCTTACATGTGGAGTCTATAGCCTTGTAAGTATGCTTAGGACTTGCATAGGGTTATCTCCTAGCAGCTAAAGGCAGCAACTGGGGAGCATAAGGGAGGCAAGTGTATCCTGCTAGGCACTGCCGGGTTACAGTGAAACTAGTTCTTTGCTTGCATGCTCAAAGTATTTGTGTTGGGTTTTAAATCATCACCTGTAGAGCCCCTGGAATCCTAGGCACAAGGTGAACACAGCACCCCGCCCTAAACGTCTCCCATGGGGTTAAAATGTAGTAGATCCCATCGCACTCCTGACCGGATAAAGCCCAAACGAAAACTGGGGGGTGCCGAAAGTGACTGCGAATGCCTCCGCACATCAAATGTAAAATACCATAGTCACTCGCACTCCGTTTGTAGATAGCAGTCAATCTCCTTTTATTGACTGAACATGATGTCAGCTTTGCTGCTATCTACAAACTGAGTGCGAGTGACTTTATGGTATTTCCCATGGGGTTAAGTCCCACCCCGGTCAATCTGCTGTCAAATTCTAGAAGCTAGGGGAATTGATAGTTGAATGGCAGAGGGTGGGATTTGGCATTCAAATGGAATGGCTTCACTTCAAATTGCCTGTGCCAGACAACTTACTTCCATGGTCCAACATCACCACTCCTTTTACAGCAGCACTAGATGGTGAGTGCACTGTGCGCAATTGTCTATGCAAGACGTCGAGGCGATATGCCAGAAGGTGCTGTTCCTGGTCGCTATTGTTACATTAAGCCCCTCCTGGAGAAGGTGATGTTGTAGGTGGGAGGGCACTGCTCTGAAGAGCTTACAATCTAAAGGATAAATCTTGGCTAGTGTTATTAATAAATACACCGCCTGGAATAACCTCTTGGTGACCCTGAGGATAGATTTTAAACATTTTACTGTATATGCACCATAGCTGGCAAATACAAGAGAGTATGCACAGAGTGGTTCTGCTATATTAGCATACTATGCAATAACTAGGGGTTTGTTACTTGGAGTTCTTGCTGTTGAAGATCTACACCACCCAACATGGCTGGAAGAGCAGGATGAGATATGTGATTCTCCTAGAGCTGAATCTACAGATAGATCTTAGACTATCCTATACAATATGAATGCGCACCTCTGCCTTTCAGTTTCTATGCTGCAAGGTACAGTGCAGAACAATCCACTCTGTACATTGATTTTATTGTCTTTTTTTGTACCCTTTTTGAAGTAACCATTTTGACAAGCGGTACATCTTTTCCATGATGGGAAATGTCAGCCTATGCAAAGCTTTTTCTGCATTGACACTCCTTTAGAATTGGAACATTTTCTTGTTTGACAGAATGGATCATTCAAGAGCCTAAAAAGTATAAAAGAACAAAATGTGAAATAAATATTACTAACAAAGCGTACAATGTTATCACTCTGCCATTACCTTAAATATCACATTTGTCAGAGAGGTGGAGCTATATTTTGGTGTGGTTTACATATAACGTGTTTATTCCTTTTTTATCTTTTTTTTTTTTTCCCCGATTTTTTTTTTTTTTTTTTTTTTTTTTTTTTTTTTAAAAAAAAAAAAAATTTTTTTTTTTTGTTTGCATTTTGTAAAAAGACAAAAGATTTTTTGATCTTGCAGTCAAAACAATTTGTACAGTTCTTCACACTGAAGTGGACTTTACGTACGTTATAAATATTAAAGGAGGGTGGGTACCGGAATTAGGATGTGTACAAACTCATCTGTCGGGTATATTAGTGACGCTGAACTCGTGTGTTTAAGCCTAAAAATGCGTTCAAATACACAAACTACGTTTTTGTTTATAGTTCAGGTATCGCTCAGCCATAGATCCTGAAATCATCTCTGAATTGGTGCTGCCACGGTCCTTCCTTCTGGAGGGTGGATACTTTTGTTCCCCATGGTCCATGTGTGTGTTGTAAAGTAGTCACCGCTCCAAGCTCGCTCCTGTGATGGACTACAATCTCAATACAAATTAGTAAACTAAACATAAGATTGTAGTCCATCACAAGCGAGTGAGCTTTGCTTTACAACACACACAGGGACCATGGGGAACAAAAGTAGTCACCCTCCAGAAGGAAGGACCGTGGCAGCACCAATTCAGAGATTTGAGGATCTACAGCCGAGTGATACACAAATAAGATACATTTTTGTTAATAGGATACGTGAATGTATTTTTAAGATTTAACTCCTGAGTTTAGTGTAGCTTAAGCTGGTCCCGCGGCTCTCTGGGTAACATGTCGACAAGCCGCTGAGACCCCTGTGCCTACAATGTGGAGCTGTTGTACGTCTCATTGCTGCACCCTTTCTAATGCCCCATGTGGCTTCTTTTCACTTGGAGCAAACTAAAGACTATCCAGAGTTCATAATCTGTTATTTATAGTAGAATTTCAAAAGGCAAAAAATATTGTCCCTGCACCAAAGTTTTTGGCTGAAGCTAGTCCTATCATCTATAAATGCTTAATGCCTTTGTCACAAAACTTCCAATTCTTAACAAACGTTCTGCATAC